TCTTTCCCTTCCTCTTGCACCATTTCATTTTCTTCTCATTGAGAAGCGCACAGAGGGTGAGCTCCCCAGGGGCCTGCACTGATACAGCCCTCTGCGTACCACCTTGAGTTACACGTCTCTGTCACCAATCAAGCATACCTAGAGTCAAGAAGCTCCCAGCCACAGTGCACCTTGGCTACAGACAAGTGTGCCGCGGTTGGACGTGGCTCTATTACCCAATGCGAACAGCCACACCTGTTGCGGGGAAAGGCCTGATCATTCACTCTGTGTGCAGCTAGGCTGAAGCTAGGAGGTCAGAGGGTGTATGAAATGGAAAACAGGGCTGAGAGCGCCAAAGTTCATTTTCTCCTGCTGCTCTGCATATCCATGGGCTGTAGCTGCCCCTAGTGAGGCTGGAGGAGGGAAATGTAGTGATTGTGGGGATGAGATGAGCCCCAGATAGGAAAGTGCAAGAAGAAGTATGTCCAGGAGCAGAGGCCTTGTGTTTTTCTCTAAGGGGGTGAGGGAGCTAAAATGGGTCTCACCTGTGAAAAGCTACACTTCCCTAAGATTCATGTCTCCATTGCACTTGGCCCATTATGAGGCCAATCAGGAAGCCTGTGGTTATGGAAAACCAATACCTATCATGCTCCGAAGTGGGCTACTGATTAAAAGTTAGACTGAATGGGACTGTTAACTTTGTCACTTAGCAACTGTACAAAGGGACTAACCAGTGCTATGGCTTCAGCTTTCAGCCTGATCAGTCAGACTGCTGTGGAGGTTTGGGGTGCTTACATTTTCCACCAGTTCCATGCAGCCTCGTTCTAGTTTCCACAAAATGTCCTCCATCCGCAGTGGCTGGCAGCCAAACCCTCTGGACCTCCTCACCTAAAGGATTTTCTACTGGAGGGAGGAGAGAAGGAGGAAGATTCCACTGAAGTTCACAGAGCACCCGACCAGCCTGTCTTCCTCCCTTCAACATGCGAACAAACTTCTCTGAATTCTTCAGCGCACTTGGCATTCCAGTCATTGCAAAGCAGATGGCAATTCTGCCAGGCTCATGCACTACAGGAAGTAAAAAGTATTTGAAGAGAGGATTTCATCAACTGGCTGGCAGGAGCCCAGAATGGTTTGTGGAGAAGGGACAAAACAAAAGGGAAGGCACTGCAAGATCTGTGCAGAGAAAGATGAGAAGACAACCAGCTGCAGCTGTCTGCTGAGGCCACCTCCTTAGGGCATACACAAAGATGCCCACATGGTGCAGCAAATTTCAAGCTTGCTGTCTTCCTATGAATCAAAACCAAAGAGCCAGCATACTAACCTGGCATTACAAACCAGCCATGAAGCTGAATTGGGATGTTTGGATTAGCATTACTACTCTCCAGTGTAGCCTTTACCTAGGTGTGCTACAGCTCTGTCACAACTCACCAGCCCTATTGTATTGTCCTTTCTTCATAGTTGTATCTTCTGACAAAATTGCTGCTATGCAGCTAACTACCCGCAAGCCACTTAATTGCAGACTGTTACAATCTTCAAGCTGGGTCAATATTATTGTATTGCATAAGGGGAAAATAATCCATGTAATTTAGCACTTTTTTCAAAACAAAAACAGAGTGCATTTTCTAGCACATTATCTTTACTCAATCGTTGCACTGGAAAAAAAGAGTGCTCAATCAAGAAACAGCTGGTCATTGGATGAGCAGATAGCACAGCTGGCTTGACTTACAGGTTTCTGGCCACTAGAACACTTTCTACTCCCCCCAACTTGCCTGACTACACATCTCAGCAGCGTGGTAGAGTCACTCGTTACATTTCCTTCTTTTAGCAAGATGATCCTCAATGACAACAAAGAGACAACTTTCAGAACAATGTCAAATAGACAAAAAGACACAGCAGTAATGACACATTAATGACCAGGATCCGGAAATGCAATGGAGTAATGCAGAACACCACCACCAACACATAATTTGATTACCCTCAATCGTTAATCATTTAAACATTTTTCTGTGGTGTTCACCCATCTCCTAAAACATTTAACTGGAAAAAGGCTGCTGGTTTTCTACAAGTTCCCTGCCTTCCTGGCTTTACTGCACCTCACTAACTTCATCTTCTTTCACACAAGGGTGACAAAGATCTTGCTGAAAGGGCTGGAGGAAGAGAATAGACAGGGTGGGCCCCAGGAACAGAAGGCTGCAAATCTGAATCTTTCTTGTGTGTCAAAAGAGCCTGAAATGAGCATAACAGACACACTTCAGAGTGTGTGTACAGAAGCAAGGTTCTGTAATTACATGGGGAGCACGAGGGAGCAAAGTCAAGAAAGAGAGCAGAAGTGGAGGAGAGGAAGTCAGTGCTAGAAGGTTAATTGAAAGGAGTCTTCAGAAGGAATTTGCCATTAAATTGATTTATGGAGGTACAGCAGCCTGTATTTTTGATTCTGCAGCAGTTTCTGTAGCTTCTGGCCTAATGTTGCTATGGATAATCCTTGCACAACTGCCCCATGTGTTTTTTTCTACCAGAACTCCCAAGTAGCAAGGAAAAAGAGAATTTCCTGTTTAGCCAATGCATGGCCTTTTTCAAGGAAAGAGTTTTTCTACCAGTCTGTGCCAAGCTGACCTGAACTAGGAACTACTCAATGCCAAAGGGCTTTTATGGAATTGTTTTGACACCAGCTTGAGAAACCGCTGGAGAAACAATTGTGCACACAAAAGAGGGACAGTACCTAGAAAACAAAGAAGTGACTGGACTCCCCAGGTGCTTTCCATCTCAAGTCAGGGACCACTCACTGAGCAATCAGTGCCCAGCTGAGTGAAAGGCTTAATCACCTTGGAAAGACCCAGCTTGTGCATTCTCAGCCACAGATAGAGCTCAGCAGTGGTACTTGCCATCTGGGAGGTGCATGTGGTTAAAACAAAAAGTCCAAGGTTTTCTGACCCAAATTACAAGCAGCGATAGGTCTGCCAAGCCACTCATACTGGCTTCACTTTCCTGTGATGATGTCTCAGAAATAAGTGATGAAATAGCCCCAGGATGAAACCTAGGAACAGAGAGGAAGAAAAATGTCTGGGTCACAAATGGTAAGAGCAACTTGGAAACAGAAAAAAAAAAATGCATCTCACCTCTGGCATTAGCTTGTGCTTTTGTCTGCACAAGTGGCTCTGTAGCAGCTTCCACACCACTCTGGGATAAAACATCAGCACAACAGATTGATAGCTTTTGGAAAAGTGGGAACAACATACATGTACCTTCCCCACAGCCAAGCATACCTCTACAATTCTCTCATAAAAAGACTCCATTTACCACTGATATCTCCCAGGAGAGTGTGGAAAACAAAGGAGATGAGTCAGACTTGTAAACAAGGTCTCATTTATTCTGTTTATTTGTGTGGCTAACAAGTTCTCATCCTAATCTAATAAAAATATTAGCAGAAAATATTTGTCCCTTTTCCCCATACACACACACATACATTTTTTGTGTCTTAAATAAAAGAGTCAGACCGTTAAGTGTGAGACTCAGGGAGAGGCTTCTTTATCAATAAGCTCCTGTAGTAAAATCAACTTTTTGCTCAAGATATAAAATGCAGCAACCCTGGGCACTGAATCTCCAGTGCTGCACCAAGGCAATCAGTGCTCCTCAGAAGAATCAGTCAAGTCATTTAAAAAAGTTAAGAAAATACTTAGCACTTATCTGGCACTTCTTGGCCATGGGTCTCAAAGCACCTTCCAGAGGCAGGAATATGTCATCTCCGTTTGCAGAGGAGGAAGCAGCAGCACAGAGACAGGAAGTTACTCAGTGACACTCATACATCAATTTAGTGCAGAATGAGGAATGTCTCCAAATCCCATGTCCTGTTCAGTGCCCCATGGTTCCTGCCCTTCCCTAAGCAGAATATATATATTCCGCTTAGGAAAGTCAACACATCAGAGAGTCATAGATGTACTAGCTAGTGACATCAAGGAGTTAACTGAATCATGGTCAGAGCTGCTGAGTACTTTGGAAAAGACCAAAAAAACATATTGCCAACAAGACAGTAATAAAGATAGAACACTTTTGGCAAGTGCATGTGTATTAAGGAAGTGATAATTCAGTTACCAAGCAGCTACAATGAGCTACAACAAGGAGATGAAATGTGCAAAGACTCCCTACTCCAAGCTTTAATGGAAAGTTGTTTGAGAAAGAGGTTGTATGGGAAAATCCCTAAAACTGTGAAATTGCATTCTGGGCTACAGAATCTGGGTTGATAAATCTCTAGGGGATGGGATGGCTCAAGGCTTCGGGAATAAGGTATCCAAACGCTGCCAGGTCAACAGTACCAAAAATACTGCTGGCTATTCAGTGAATTATGTAACAAAAATCTGTGATGTCACAACCTCCTTAGTGGACAAGTAACTATAACACAACTGGCCCCAATGTTAGTAGCAGAGCAAAGATACCAAAATCTCAGTAGTCCATGAGATACAAGTCCCCTTTCCTTCAAAGCAGGCACCTTCACAAGGACACGCTTGCCCCATCACTAACTGTGCTGTGCTTGTCACATGAATGGATCAACAGTAGTCTCCATGTTGCCAAACTGGCACTTTTCATAAGGTCTTTGTAACCTATGAGGACCGCATTCTTTGACAACCAACATAAGATATACGAGTGCTAGGATGATGTATAAAGTAAAAGTGCAGCCAACCACCTAGTCAGCTTCAGAACTAGGTGAGCTGGCATTTCAAGTACACAAGCTCAGACCCACAAGCATTTGGATTCAGATCTTCACTGAAATCCCGTAGCTCATCCTTCAGGCACTGCAGATAATGCAGAGATCAAGCTTGCAATGAATGTAATGTGAAACAGCTGTGCTTTGATCCCAGCAAGTGGAACCTCTTGCCATGTCACTTCCAGTTTTTGCAAAGAACAGTGTGTGACATGGGAGAGGATAGACAACATCAAGTTAGCAAAAAGTCCAACCTCCAGCAACAAGTCCCCAGCAATACAGATGAAGTCTCCCTGTGCAAAACCCAGAATGCACTTAATCTAAACTAGTTCCCCACAATCTGATGTGCACACCCAGAACCAATGACAGAGGGCAACAGTGGCTGCCCCTCCTTTCTCACCCAGACAGCAGAATCCAGGTAGTAGAGAAGGGGAAAATACTACTAGGGACGTGTTCCCTGTGTTCAGCATTTCCCCTTAAGGTATCAAGTCTCTTGCCACAAACAAAAAAACCAAAAGTGACCATCCATCTCCAAAGCTCTCTCACATCCCTGCTATTCACTACCTAGTTCCCACCCTAGCCTCCAGCTCATCTAACTCCCCAGTCAACTTCTCCAGTTTCCTTCCCTTTGAATTAATGCACCACCTTCCCTCTCCAGGGGTCACACTGCTCTACAGAAACTAAGGCACATAAAGTGACTTGCATAAGAATCAGGTCTGGAACGCCTCTCTGAACTCCGGGACCTGCTCTAACGGTGCTCCTCACAGGCCTTTCTCCTCTCACACCTTGCATATTGAAGTAGCCTGCGTGCACTGCGTGAACTGGAACAAGAGTTATTTTTGTTTCCCTGTTATCACTGAAATTTCAAACACAACAAAAAACCACCCTGCTGCGCTCCTCTTCTCCCCCTTCCAGACGGATTACTTTTCTCAAAAATGTGGAAGGGCATCGATACAGAAAGAAGCATTCAATGTAGATGGCAGACAGCTTGGCCTGTGCTAGCACAAAACAGACAATGCAAGAGAAAAAGGAACTGCCTCTCAGGGAAACAGGAGGGTTCCTCAGCTACATCTGGTTTGCCAATAAGCATAGGGAAAAAAAGGTACAGGATTTAATGCAACAGTGCAAACCAGGTGATCATGATAAAGAGCAGCATTCACATGACTAATCTCCCGTCAAGATGGCCCCTTCAGAACCCAGCAGGATTTGCTTTCAGGAGCTGGCTGGCCTGCAAGTATCAGCCAAGAGGAATCAGTATCAGTCCAGAGAAATTATGGTGGTTGGTAAGAGCTTCCAGGTCATGGTTTTTTCCAGTGAATGACGGTTTGGTATCCCAGAAGACATGAACATCTGGCTTTGGCGTGTCCATATCAAAAGCATGTATTTGGTAGCAGCAGCTGCCCCAGCTGTGGACTGTACTATGTGCAGCTGTGCCTCATGTGGAAGTTAACAACATATTCTGCATTAGTCCTTTGCACTGAGATGGCAAAGGGCTCAAAGGGGTGAAAGGTGAATGCAACCAGGCGTCGTACAGTGTGATTGATGGGTCGACCCAAAAGTCCAGCTTGGATTTCAAACTTCAGGAGGCCAGAATCCCGGGCATAGAATCTGAAAGGAAGAGAAACAGAGAAGGCTGGTTATGTCTACTACTGCTCGCTGGCACTGCCAGTTTGGGTACCTCAGAAAGGGGGACTGGTGCCATTGATGACTGACCCCTTGTTCCATTTCTGTATTTACCAACAGGTGCGCTGGCAAGAGGACTGATGACCTCACCATGTGACTGGCCAATCAGTAGCACTGACTGAGCACAGGAATGACAGAAGCTCATTCTGGGAAAATCCCCTCAGGTCTTTTCACCGTATCCCCATTCAGAAGAGGCATATCTGTTGGATTTGGCCCTGCTCTACAATGCTTTAATTCTACTTGGCAGCTAGTTTCAGTTCATACCAGACCTTCTGGTCCCTTGCAGATTTCCACAGAAAATTGTCAATGCAATTGTCTCAACCTTGCAGTGTTCTGGAATGTGACTCAAAGTTGCTGCTCTTCAGAGATGGTCTGGCTCCCATACAGAGCAACATAACAGACTATCTTTCCTTTGCAGCTTCCAGACTTTTTCTCAAGTCCTGGAGCACTCTTCTCTAGGTCTCAAAACCATAATTAATATATAAGCTGTCTCAGGCTACATTCCCTTCATCTCTAGTGAAAACACAGAGTTCGCTATAACCTTCTCCACTGCCCCAAGACTTTGGCAGACTCTTAGGCAGGATTTTGTACCTTTGCAAACCACCTGGACTCAACATGAATCATCAGTCCTGACCAATGTTGGCTCAGCCATTTTGACATTTTTCCCTACTATTGCCACAGGGTTCTAGTTCCCAAACTGCTGCCTTCTGTTTCCTGCCTGGTAGACTTGGGTGGTTAGCACTTGCCTCTGGTTTCAAGGTATAAAAGCATTTCTGAAAAGCACAGGCTTCCAACGCCCCCATACCCCCCATCTTGCCACAGTGCACTCAGCTCTCCAGCAGTCAGCACTGGCTCCAGACACATGAAGGTGACTTCCTTTCACTGCTTAACCCCCCTCTGGCTTTTGATAATGCAGCCTACTGAATTCTTCACATTTTTTTCTAGCCAGCCACTCTCCACCCCTCTCTCCCCCAGCAAACTTGGCTGCCAATTACACATAAGAACCAAGCAGAAGATTTACAATCTTGGTATTTGGCTTTCCAAAAAGCCCTTTTCCCTCCTACACAGAACAAGGCATGCAGGGGGTTGGTTTTTAAGTAAAACACGGCCTATGGTCTGCTCCTCTCTCTCCAATTCACAGTAATTTACCATACTCAAGATGAGCTCCCTGTAATCTCAGAGATGGGCTTGGTTTGGTATTTTTACATCCATTTTTAAAAGTGCTCTGCAATCAGAGGCCATTTCCATGGGCTCGCACTCAGTGGATAAATTAGGCACTGAAATATAAAACTCGTGTCAATAAAAACAGCAAGACTAGTCTTTTAAAACCATACAAAAATGGTAAAAAAAAAAGTATCTGCTGCCCATTTCTTGTTTAAATAGGCTCCTTCTTAACCCTTTCCACTGACTTTAATGCTCTAATACTGGAGTTGCTGTGTTAATGCTGCTTTCCCAGCACATAGCACCCCAAGCAGTTTGTGGTCCCCTGCTGGGACATTGCTGCCCAACCTTTTGCAAGCATACGTAAAGAGAGGTCTGAAGCCCCTCCATCAGGGGAAATGCCACAGAGCAGGATGTTTGCCTCTCCGACAACCAACAAAGGGTGACAGCTGCAGCTGTCCAGGAGGGAGAGAGAGAGTAAAGCCAGCAGTGGGAAGGAGGGATGCTAAAAGCAGCATGAGGTAGTGCAGGGTTTGGTGCAGAGCACAGATGATGGTTTTTAAATGATGTGCGATACAAAAAGAGTATAAATTACAGCCCAAAAGTCCCTCAGGCAGCAAGGGGGTAGGGATCGTTTGTGCTAAAGCCAGGTATGGAACTTTCGAGACAAATATAATTTTCCATTGTCAAGAGAAATAAAACAAAAGTCTCTTATGTCCAACCCCTTTCACCATGATGGGCAGCTGTGGTATTAATCACTTTGTTGTACGTGCAAGAAACACAGCAGCACTCTGTCAGCTGCTGAATAGTTAAGTCTGGCCTCAACCACTGAAGTGCTCTGCGTACTCTAAGCAGGAAGGCAAAGTACAGAAGCCCCACCGCTCCAAGCCTCATTCAAGTCCTGACTGACTCGGCACAGCTTTGAGCTTTAGAGAATCCAGTTATAAAATGCCAGTCTGCTCAGGGGAGGCAGGGAAAGTGCTAGCTTGCTTTGTTTACTACAGAAGACATGACCACAGCAAATGTCTGCAGTTCTCTTCTCTTTTGTCTGGAGAAGCTGCACACATGTTGAAGCTAGTGAACAAACACCTCCCAGAGCGTCTTCTCATCAAGCGTGGCAATGGGGGGGGTGGGGGGGAGGATCAGCTATGTCTCTCCAGACTGTACAGCACTTGAGATCAAAGCAAATTGCAGACAGGACTCAATTAACATATATGATATGGGGGACTGCAAGCGTATCAATGATCAGAGGTCCTGCCATCTAAAGTGAGAAGGGTGGGGCTGGTGAGCGAAGGAACCAGATTTTCAAGAAGACTTTGGACCACACAGTTGGTGGCAGGTTCTGGTCCATTCCCCGTTTCTGGTCAGGTGAAGAACCCAACCTCTGGGCAGCCACAGTGCTCAGTATTCAGTCTTAGAATTGTCTCTTGCTTCACAAGATGTAGGATTAAAGTCTACTCTTGAAACACAACAAGCTGGACAAGTTTTTGCCTTGGCATGCTCAGCCTGTTCAGGTCTATGGATCAATTCTTCCTCAAGACCCTTCAAATCTGGTGGGAAAGCACTGGGTTCTCAGACGCCGCTTCTAAAACGCACGTGTCAAACTGCCCCTGTTCTTCTGCAAGAAGCATCACAGGTTTTCCCACTCTGAAGAACAGACACCTTTCTGCTACTGAAACTGATAGAAGCAGAATGGCTTTTATACCAGGCCCAGACTCCTGTTGTGCAAGCAGACTTCCTGTGCACTACAGGGTAAAAGAAGGGCAGTAAAGAGGGAAGTAACAAGTCCATCATTTGCTAAATGGAAAGCCTGAATAACTCTGGGAAATAATTTTAGCTGCTAGGCTTCAAAACATGAGATATAAATAACAAAGCAAAAAACAGTCAAACCAATTATGCAAGCATTATACACAGCCTTCCATTGTATTCACAGGACTCGACAGTGGGACAAATCAGATCTTTGTTAATGCAAACTAACCCCAAAGCAATTTTTTTCCTCACACTGGAACCACAGTACACTAGCTGTCATCCTGCAATGGTTGGAAGAGGAATCTCAGTTCAACAACTGGGCCAAAAGGAATCTCATGAGGTTCAATAAGGACATATGCAAAGTGCTGCACTTAGGACAAAACAATCCTATGCACCGATACAGGCTCGGGGCTGACTGGCTGGGCAGCAGCTCTGCAGAAAAAGACCTGGGGGTTACAGTGGGCAATAAGCTGAATATGAGCCAGCAGTGTGTCCTCATTGCCAAGAAGGCTAACTGCATACTGGGCTGCACTGGTAGGCATGTCAAGGGAAGTGATTGTTCCCCTCTATTCAGCACTGGTAGGGCCACATCTGGATTACTGTGCTCAGTTTTGGGCCCCCCACTACAGAAAGGATGTGGACAAATTGGAGAGAGTCCAGCGGAAGGCAACAAAATGGTGAGGGGCCTGGGGGACATGACCTATGAGGAGAGACTGAGGGAACTGGGCTTGTTTAATCTAAAGAAGAGACTGAGTGGGGACTTAATAGTGGCCTTCAACTACCTGAAGCGGGGTTCAAAAGAGGATGGAGCTAGACTGTTCTCAGTGACAGCAGATGACAGAACAAGGAGCAAGTCTCAAGTTGCAGCAAGGGAAGTTCAGGTTAGATATTAGGAAGAATTATCTCACTAGGAGGGTAGTCAAACACTGGAACAGGTTACCCAGAGAGGTGGTGGAAGCTCTGTCCTTGGAGGTTTTCAAGACCTGGCTGGACAAAGATTTGGCTGGGATGATCTAGTTAAGGATAGTCCTGCTATGAGCAGGGGGTTGAACTAGATGACCTCTTGAAGTCCCTTCCAACCCCCACTTCTATGATTCTATGATGAACTATTCAAGGTTCCCCACCACCACCACCACCACTTCTTCCTCTCTTGATGTGCCCTGCACACCTCACCTCTGATTTTGGAAGGGCCCTCTATGATCATTCATGAAAAAGGCTCAATCCCTGGACTATTTAAAAAAGCATTCTGCTCTAGAGGAGAGCAAAGGCAGCTGTCCTATCCTTAGACATTTCAACCAGCCTAGGGCAGTGGTCAGCAACCTTTTAGGAGTGGCAGGGTGAACAATGCAACTCAACCCAAGGCAGGCGGGTGCTTCCATCCCAGCCACTGACACTGGACCTTCCCCTAGTCTCTAATAGGGGCACAACTTGCCACCACAGAATCCCCTACCTGCTGAATTGCTGCTAAACTGCCCTGCCACCAAAATGCCAACAATATCCAGTTTTCACAGGCCCACCGAAATACCATGGTGAACTGTATCTGGCCCACATGGAACTGGTTGCTGACCCCTGGCTTAAGGCAAGGTGTACATACAATTCTGAGTTACATGCATTCAATTCCACCCACCGGCAGTCTTCTAAACCATCTTCATACCTTATGGGGTGGTCTCCACATGTCTTGGGCCGTTCCATGACTGAAACCCACTTGTCATCATAGCTGAAAAGGGAGAGGTCCAAGTAGGGACTGCCACTGTAAGACTGTGCGCTTATCGGGAGTTGGCCCAGCAGCCTCCGCACGGCTTCCGTGTGCCCTCCATACTTTGCATTCACAATCGTGTCCTTAAACCTGCAGCAGACCAAGGCACAGATTTCATTTGCAAAGGCACAAAACAGGCAGGGATAGCAGAGAGAAACAGCAGCAGTTCCAAAGCTATAAGCACTGATTCCAGAAGTTGTGTTCTGCCCAGCAGCCTCGATTCTCATGAGCTTTCACATTCCACTTCAGTTCATGTTTCTATTCTGTTTTGGACCTGATGGACTGACCCAGATGGGTAAGACTTTGGCATTCCACAAGGCCTGACTCTGGCTGTCCTGCAGTACAGGCAATCCACAGGCTCAGAAATAGGACAAGGGTTAGGGTTATGATCTCTGCAGTAAAAGCTAGATTGATTGATAAACTGCAGTTTATCAATCAATCCAGCTTTTACTGCAAAGATCATAAAAGATCATAAGGAAGTGAAGGCCACAGGGCTTGTAATAACAGCCAGATCCCTGAGGCTGCAGGGTAACTTGGGAAACCTGTCACTCCACCTATTATATTTTGATTATATAAGGGGTGAAACTGTAGAGGAGAAAAAACCTTGAAGAGAAGCCTGCAGCTGTTTAGCTCAGTGCCATGTCTGAAAAGTTCTTCCTGGTGGATATTAACATGGATTAGATTGGAATTTTCTTTTTTTCCCCAAGCATATTTTGAGTAGGGCTGTGCGAAGCTTTGGGTGTTGATTCAGTTCGGAGGAGATTCGGCCCGATTCAATGGCCAAATCTCCAAATCCAAATTGAATCAGGGGACCAAAGGTCCAAATCAATTCAAAACTCTCCTAATCTTCAGAAAAGATTCGGAGAGCTTCGATAATTTGGGCAGTCCCCAGTGGCTGCAGCAGGGAGCTGGGGCAAGCTCTGAGCTGGTAAGTACTAGGGGCGGGGAAGGGGCCTGTTGGGGAGGGGACCCCTGCCAGCTCCCCTGAGCTGCCGGGAGGGAGGACAATCCTTGCTGCCCCGCACTGCATGGGGGGCTCTGCCACGAGCCCCCCCACCCCCCCCCCCCCGCTCTCCCCGCCCCCCCATGGGGGCTCCAGCTGGGCCAGCTCTAGCCCTTTAAGAAAAAAAACTGAGAAAAGCCCGTGTGGAACACCCATGGGGGGGCAGTGGGAGTGAAGGGGGGGGTGTCAAGGGGCTCGTGTAGAGCCCCCCATGCAGTGTGGGGCAGCAGGGATCACCCCCTGCCCAGCAGCACCCTCTGAGTCGGGTTTTTTTTTGTTTTGTTTTTTGTTGGGTTTTTTTTTTTTTTTTTACACAAGCACTGGGAGCTGGGGCAGCCATTGCCCGGCTGAGAGAGAGGTGGGGGATGGGCCTGCCCTGGCTGATTCAGAGATTCAGCTACTGCTGAATTTCAGAATCAGATTCAACCGAATCGAATCAGGACAGCGATTCGAATCACCGAATCGAATCACTGTCCCCCGAATCGGCTGAACTCGAAGTGAATACTAGCGACTTCGCACAGGCCTAATTTTGAGCTTTCTTCTGGGGAAAGCCAACACACAGGAGGCCAGCAGTAGAAAAATCGCACCTACAGGAGTCAGATGGTCATGGTGCACTGTAAACCTTCACAGCAAAGGTGTATTTTATTTGTGTATGAAGTACCCAACCATGCTGTACAAAGAGCCCCGCTATAAGCCCAGATAACCACAAAGGGAGGTGGCAAGAAGAATCTTGCCTCTGGTTTAAGCCCCAAGGCAAGGATTACACCTCAGCTGTTTGCATTAAGAGCCATCTCTCCAAAGCTGTAAGGATTTTCCTTGGAAAACTAAGTCTGCTTTCTCTTGTATGGGTGACATGCAGCTTAAATCAGATGTCCGCCTCTGAAATCAGTGCAGAAACTGTCAGCAAGTGTTTATGGCACTGTTAAACAAGTCATGGGAAGAACAGAAGCTCCTGAAAGACTTGGGCTACCTTGCAACACATTCCAAAGGATGGCTTAAGAAACCCCAGACCCTGCATTACTGTATTCACTTGAATCCAAGACAAGGTTTTCTGCCCCAAATAACATGGGGGGAGGCAGGAAATAAGCCTCATCTTCAATTCAAGTACCTGCCTGAGGCAGGTGGTGACTCAACTCCAGCCTTGGTTCCAGGCTTAGAACCAAAGCTGGAACTGAGCTGCCACCTGCCCCAGCTCAGAGTGGCTCATATGGTGGGAGACGGGACATGCAATGGGGACAGCACGGAGGATACTGCGCAGCGTAGGTGGGGGGTGAGTATGGGGGAGATCTGTGGTGGAGGAGGGGGATGTGGAGGAGACCCATGGTAGGGATGAGAGCATGAGAGAGATCCTGTGAGATAGGGGGTGCAAAGGGACTTCTGTGGGGCAGGGTGGAGGGAACATAGGGGAGACTCTGCAGCCTCCCCACAATCCCTCTCCCAGCTGATCTTAGGCTCCAGCCCCAGATCTGATGCTGCTGTTTATGCCTGGCTGGGCTAGGCCAGGGCTGCGGCTGCCACCATTGTTTCCCCCAGAGCTGGAACCAGAGCCTCCTCAAAAGTAAACAGCAAGAAGAAGAGGGGTAGGGGTTGGCACTGGGGAGGGGACAAGCAGCAGACATAGGCATGGTGGGGGGCAAACAGGCAGGCACCAAGGACAGGAAGCAGGCACAGGCATCATGGGCAAGAGGTAGAGAGGACCAGGGAGGCAGGAGGTCAGACAGGGGCACAAGGGTGTGTGTGTTGGGGGAGGGGGGGTCTGGCCCTTCACTTCCTGCTACTGCTTTCTTGGCCACAGCCATGGGGCAGGGGAGGGTGAATTTAAGACAAACCTCCAATAATCATATTCTATACCAGGAAAATTATAACAAATGTACACATTTCCATGTATAGAATCTAACTACTGGGGAGTCATCATAAATTTAAAGCGGTCTTGGATCTGGGTAAGTACAGTATTAACACCCCTTCTGACTACTCAAACCAATTATACAATTCTTGTTTGATTTTATATTTAATTCATCCTTCAAAAGGAGACTAGACAGGTCAGCACTTTGCACTGACACCGTAAAACAGCAGTTCTCAATCTGGTTAGACTCCAGGCTCCCAGCTCTTAGCTTTCACTCCAGTTTTGACTACAGAAAAACACTGAAGTAATTCTTCTGTTGCAAAGAACTCAGAAAGGCCATAACATGGCAGAATGCTTTTTATACTATGGATTCTTATTCAAAACCTCTGGCTTTATCTTGTGAATCATGTGCAACAGTGCTAATACTGAGCAACACTCTTAAAAGGACCTTGGGTCACCGCAGCATGCACAGAACTCTGGATGGGAATCACTGTTATAGACAGTGCCACCAGCAATGTTATTCCATTCAGGTTGGGGAAGCCTGCCTGGCAAAAGAAATCCCATGTGTGGTGACATTTTGGGTTTATTGAACCTTGACTTCACATGGGTGTACGCTGCACAGACGCTGTGCACTAACAGGCTTGAAGGAAGTCACAACACAAGATGCCTCCTTCTCCAGCCTTCTTGTTTCAGAAATGCTTTGCTCCAGTTTAAATGCTAGATCATCACTGTATTTTCTGGGGTGGGTCTGTCAGTAGCTAAGAATACTACAAAAGCTCACAAAGACTGAATACAAGTCATACACATCCTGCCTCAGCTTTGGGTGTTCTAGGATTCCAGAACCATCATGTTGTGGCATTACAAGCCACATTCAAAACAAACTCTAATCCCAATCAGTCAGTAAGAAGCTGTCTTTCTTAAGGTTGCCATAGCTTTTTGATACTGGCCTTGAATAGGTGGGGGCGAGCGTGTATCTACATGGTATAAGGCATGCTCCGAATGGCTCACCGGCGCTGGATCTGTCTGGCAAAGTTGTTGCTGGAGGCAGAGCAGGGGAACTGGACAGCCTCGCTGTGCAGGGTGGCGTTCCTGAAGAGGTCACAGAAGTTCTCAAAGAGCTCCAGAAGCTCATCTGAAGTATTCTCAAACACAGCAATAACCTCTGTGGTAACCATGTTGTACACCACAAAGAAGGAGGGCTGCCGAGAGGAGCAAAAGACAATTATCAGCATGGCACGGGTACACAGGTCCCATATTAGTTGGAATTCTGCCCTGTCTCCCCCATACCACGTAAGACAGACACTTTCCCCAATTACTCTGCAATGCAGGAGAATCCACATTCCCTATACAAATTCATTATGCTATTCAAATACCTCAATAGGTACCAAATTATCCAGCCTATTAACTACAACATATTATTTGTGGAGGGAACTCAATGTGCTTCCAATTTTTCATTTCAAACTGGACGTCAATATTTCTGTTTTCTCTTCCTCACTCCCCAACCTCCACCAAATATAAAATGCTTTTTAAAGTGGCAGATTTAATTTTCTT